TGTCCTCTTGATCTCTTGCTCTCTTAATCAACCAACATTAATAAGTCACATATATACTAAAATTATGGATATGGACCAGACTTCATTTTATGTATCCCTATCTTGGAAACTAAAGAATAGTCTTCTCAAACTCATTGAATTAAACAGTTGGGAGTAAAGATATATACTTACTTGAGAAGCTATAATCAAACTCGAATTCCCATCACATTCATCAAAGGAAATAAGGAACACAATGGCTAACTCCAAAAAGCTTTCATTTCTGATTTTCACAATCCATGTCATGCTCCAACTCTGTTTCTCCTCTGCACAAGCTGTGGTGAAAGGAGGATATTGGTATTCTGATTCTGGGCTTGCAGCATCTGACATTGATTCTTCCTATTTCACTCATCTTTTTTGTGCATTTGTTGACCTTGATAGCAACACCAACAAAGTCACCATTTCTTCTTCCAATGCACCCTTGTTCTCAACCTTCACCCAAACCGTTCAGCAAAAGAACCCTTCAGTGAAAACCCTTTTATCCATAGGTGGTGGTGGAGGTCCTTCCCTGGCAGAAGCTTTTGCTGTAATGGCTAGCCAAGCCAGTAGCCGTAAGTCCTTCATAGACTCTTCAATAGTAGCAATTGTTCGTAGATAAGCAAGTACCGCAGAACCCCACTAAAAGTGCATGTGCGCTGAAAATCATCAAGAAATAATAAAAATCGTACAGGAACATAACTTGAGGCGGTATCTACGAACAACAACCCCCCCAACACACGCATGATCAGGGCGCGTGTATACATAATGCGTTGTTGCTCAGTGGCATTATGCCCAGCATAGACACCAAATTCCTCATGCAAACAACAGAGACTCATCCCCCCACCACTTAAATCTCGCACTGCTGCCGGCTAAATCCCAAGATATCCACGAATCAGCTGTCGCCAATTATGTTGTCCAGCCCTACCAGAAAAAACATGACCATCTGTCGGCAAGCCCAATAGATGATGAACATCCTCCGAAGTAATGGTCATCTCACCGTGGGCCATATGAAATGTCTGTGTCTCAGGGCGCCAACGCTCAACGAGAGCAGAAATAAGCGCATGGTCAATCTGGAACAATAAATACATGTGATGTATCAAAAAAAGTATTATTACAAAAACTTGTGAACACAATTCAACAAAACAATATATACTTACGTCATGGTTGCGCAGCCGCGCAACGTGGAAGAAACCCGCCTGCCTCAAGTATGGATGAATCTCCTGAGGAATGTGCATAGGATCGTGTGTGGCCGCCATCCTCACATTAAGTCATCGATCTGGCGCACCATTCCACACGTATGTGGATATGTGCTTATCTTGTAATGTCAAGAGAGACGGGTCAATAGGCCCGGGTGTAATCAACCTACGAGGAGAGTCGGGGGATCCGGGAGGTGTGGGAGCATGGTCCTCATGGGGCGGTGAACCATGTAGTGACTCAGGTGGGGATGCCATGAACCTATAATAAAAAATTTACATTTTTATCCTATAATTTTTTATTAACGCTACTGATAAATTAAATATAGATACAAAACGTAATTACAAATTACGATAATTAACAATCCCTAAATAATATTAAACTAATTATTGTAATTAACATTAACAATGTCTCTTATCCTATAATTTGTTTATTAATAAATACTAATAATCACAACAATATTAAAAAAATACTACCCAAATTACTAATTACAATAATTTTAAATCGTAAAATTTACTTATTCTACTAATTTATATGATAAAAAATAATTAAATTTTGATCCTATACTTTTTTATTAACAAATGCTACTAATTAAAAAAAATTAAATTTAATTGCAAAATCTAATTACTAATTACGATAATTAACAATCCCTAAATGATATTCAACTAAATATTAGAATCCACATTAACAATGTCTTTCATCCTATAATTTCTTTATTAATAAATCCTTATAATCACAACAATATAAAAAAACATTACTATCCTAATTACTAATTACAAAAATTAACTCCCCCAAAATTTACTTATTCTACTAATTTATATAATAAAAAAATAAAAAAAGACTTTTATCCTATAATTTTTTATTAACAAATGCTACTATTGAAAAAAATTAAATTTAAATACAAAATCTAATTACTAATTACGATAATTAAAAATCCCTAAATAATATTCAACTAAATATTAATATTAACATTAACAATGTCTTTGATCCTATAATTTCTTTATTAATAAATCCTAATAATCACATCAATATAAAATTATTACTATCCTAATTACTAATTAAAAACATTTACTATCCTAAAATTAACTAATCACAACAATAAAAAATAATTACATTTTTATCCTATAATTTTTTATTAACAAATGCTACTATTGAAAAAAAATTAAATTTAAATTCAAAATCTAATTACTAACTACGATAATTAAAAATCCCTAAATAATATTTAACTAAATATTAATATTAACATTAACAATGTCTTTGATCCTATAATTTCTTTATTAATAAATCCTAATAATCACAACAATATAAAATTATTACTATCCTAATTACTAATTAAAAAAATTAACTAGCCTAAAATTTACTTATTCTCCTAATTTATATAATAAAAAAATAATTATATGTTTATCCTATACTTTTTTATTAACAAATGCTAATACTAACAACAATATCAAAATTAAATACTAAACTAATTTACTAATTCTAATATTTAACTACAACACAAAATTAACTTATAACTACTACAATACACATGCTGATAATTAAAAGAAAGAAATTAAATATAAACTAACCTTGCAATGTAGCTGTGGTCCGCGGAGAGAGAGAGTTTTGAGAGAAGAAAAGAATATTGGAAAGAAGAAAAGATGAAAGTGATGGGTTGGGAGTGGGATTATATAGACCCACCGTTGTACATATCCCGCTTTACTGACAAGCGTGAATAAGGAGAAGCAGCCATGCGTCCAACATGCATCAGGAAGTCGTACGATGTGTACCATTCTAGCTGGTCTGACCAGCGCGAATGGTGGGAACATGACACGTAGAGAACTTTTCAGTGTCTGATTGACAAGCCATTCTAGCTTGTCAGATAAGCGAGAATGAGGCTCCATGGTTGACCGCCACGTGTCATCTTACAATATCGCTTGGTGATGTAGCGGGATTGCGACGTGGCATTTTGGAAAATTTGAAATGAACCGTGGCATACCGGTAATATATTATTCAAAGTGTGTTATTTTGGTCAAAGTCCCGTAGGATGTACCCTAATATGGTAATTGAAGTTTACCTTCCGTACAAATGGCGTCAATGATCTTCCAAGATTTCTTAGGCTGACCAAGAGGTTGCTTTTGAAGATCTTTTAAGGCTAGTTTGAAGTTAATCCTCCATAGGCCTTTGATGGAACAAGTTCAGAGAGGGATTATATCTACAAAATACCCAGACGCTCAAGTCAGATTTTATATAAACAAGTTATATAAAAGATGATGATTAGTTTGTGTTTAGAACATTGATATTTATAATAGGGGATGAACAGTTTTGGAGCTCCCCTTAATTGTTCCCCGCAAGCGGGTGAAGCGACAAAGTTTTCCTATTTGTTGGAGGTGTAAATGGCTTAAGATATGATTACTAAAAATATCAGTGCAACTATTGTTGACTAAGAAATATTCTTGAATATTTTCTTTATAACGAGGTATTTTATATGTGGACTGTTAGATATTTTGTGTACAAAACGTAATATATCATTCCAAAACATATAGCAAAAAACGTAAATAAGAAGAATGCATAAGCGAATTTTTCTTTTATATTCAAGTCTAACTCTTCAAATCTTTTTTTTTTTTTTTTTTCAACTAGTAATATATATATAGACTTAGAAAACTAGTGGTTATGATTTTGGAATTGTTTTTCACACTTTGAATGGTGGGATAAATTTCCAACTATGCATTTACTCCAACGATATATTTATTATAAGTCCACTTATTTCTAATTTTATGATTTATCTACATAGTCAGCTTCTCTACGCCCAATACGAACAAGTTTTTTTTTTTTTTTTTAATTTTATGGTTACGGTTCTTTTTGTTTGTTTATTTTTCAATGTTAAGTCCTTTCACTTCACATCCTATTCAATTTTTTTTTGAAAATGAGGGAAAGAAATCCTATTCAAATTTAGCGTATCTGTGAAACACTTATTCAGCAATCAGCGCACTGACAAACATAACAATCATATCTTATAAGGGAAAAGCAAATGTTATGCAACAGTAAAATGATTTACTTTCCTGCAGAGACTTCCAAATTTGTGTTTTGATATTTCATTTTATTCTATTTAAAAATTATGATGGCCCCATTGGTTTTTGTGTGTAACATGATGGCACTAAAATTCTGCAAAATGACAATCGTTTAACCCATCTTATAATTCTTATTCTCAACGTTAAACTTTACAGAATAACCAAACCTGTTCCATTGTAAAGTAGCATTCCCAGAAATCATTCAAGATTCCCTTCTTTCCACAACTTCATCATCAACATCATCATGTCCTTAAACGTCTTCACCTTTTTCCTCTTTGTCTTCTTCACACCCATTACTTGAAACCCTCACATCACAATGCCCCTGTTCTGCTAAACTCATGCAATGATCTTCCCACTGTGAAAAAAGCCCATGCCTTTCTCATTGTCTCTAATGCATTGGTGTGCAGTACCAATTCCACTGCTTCAAAGATCCTCACCTTGTATGCACAGTTTCATGACCTTGACAGTGTCCTTGGTGTGTTCAAAACAATGTTAGAGGATAAACCCAATACAACAATGTGGAATTTGGTTATAAGATCCCACGTTGATTTGGGACTATTCCATTCAGCTTTGTCAATTTACAAAAAGATGAGACAAATGGGTGTTACTCATGATACTTTTACTTTTCCAATAGTAAACCGAGCCTTATCATCCATCAGGATAGATGCTGTGTATGGAAAAATGATCCATTGTGTCGCAGTTCAAATGGGTTTGGATGTGGATTTGTAATTTTGTAATACCATGATTGATGTTTATGTGAAATGTGGGTGCATTGGTTACGCTCGCCAATTGTTTGATGTAATGTTGTACAGAGATGTGGTTTCATTGACGCTGATGATTGCTGGATATATTTATGAGAGACATGTTAGAGTGGCTTTTGATTTGTTCAACAAGATGAGGATGGAATTGGAACCAAATTCGGTTACTCTTATTGTAATGTTGCAGCCATGTTGTGCTTCCACAACATTGAACATGGGAACTCAAATTCATGGGTATGCAGTGAAGAGTGGATTACTAATGGATTGGACAGTGAAAAATTCAGTTTTGAGAATGTATGCTAATAAAGGGAGCGCTGAAGAAGTTGAACTTTTATTTTGTGAAATGAACAGAATGGATGTGGCTTCCTGGAATATTTTAATTTCCTTTTATTCCTCGGAAGGAGACACGATGAGAGTGGCTGGTTTGTTCAACGAAATGAAGAGCCTAGAAGTGCATTTGTGGAACATTGAGACCTTAACGCTAGTTATATCAGCATTTGCAAAGTCTGGTAGTCTTTCTGAAGGTGAAGGAATGCACTGCTTAGTCATAAAATCAGGGTCTTCTGATGATGTTTTGCTGACTTCTCTTCTTGACTTTTATGCCAAGTGTGGGAAATTGGAAATATCAGTTCAACTGTTAAGAGAAATTCATTTTAAAAGTAACATCACTTGGGGTGCTATGATGTCAGGTTTCATTCAAAATGGTTCATTTATGGAGGCCATAGTTTTATTCCAACAAATGCAAGCTGAAAATCTTGATATTGTCCCTGAAATTTGGAGAAATCTACTTGATGTATATGCGAACCTGGGAGTTCTGAAATTGGGCAAAATGGTCCATGGTTATCTTATAAAGAACTTGTTCAATGGACCTGTAGAAGGTACTGTACAACTGGAGACTTCTATCTTAAACATGTACATAAGAGGTGGTAGCATGTCTTCTGCTAGAGCATGTTTTGATAGGATGCCTGTCAAAGATGTTGTAGCATGGACAACAATGATTGAGGGACTTGGCTCCCATGGTTTTGGTTTTGAATCCCTTACGTATTTTAGTTTAATGATGGAACAAAAAGTGCAGCCGAACACCGTCACCTTCTTGAGCTTACTTTCTGCTTGTAGCCACTCTGGTCTTGTCAGTGAAGGCTGCAATATTTACTATTCTATGAAATGGGGTTTTGGTATTGAACCAGCTTTGGATCACCATACTTGCATTGTGGATCTTTTTGGTCGATGCGGAATGCTTAAAGAGGCCTTAGCCATAATATTGAAAATGATAATTCTACCTGATAGCAAGATTTGGGGTGCTCTTCTATCAGCTTCCAGAGTTTATGGAAATAAAAAATTTGGAGAATATGCAGCACAAAGACTTTTGGAACTAGAACCTGATAATGCAGGATACTATACTCTTTTGAGTAATGTAAAAGCAAGTGTTGGAAGATGGAATGAGGTTGAAGAATTAAGGAGAGTTATGAGTAAAATGGATCTCAAGAAGAAACCAGGGTGGAGCTGCATTGAGGTAAAAGGGGTCATCCATGGATTTCTTTCTGGAGATATATCACACCCTGAAGCAGAGGAGATTTATGAGGCATTGGGTAGATTGAGTAGAGTAACACAGGATTTTGGATAACATGTTTTAAGCAGTTCTAAAGGGCATTTAAATCTACTTCTTGGCTCATACCAGCACATTCAAACCAGTGTCAGGCAAAGCACTGCAAAGCCAAATCCTAGTTCTTCAGCGAAGAAAATTGAACAATTTGTGATTGTTTCTGTCCTTTTTTTTCCAGTAGTTACTAGAATATATCTTGATATTCGATTTCAATATTAGTTCTCACCTGTTTCTATTACTTCTATCCATGTATTCTGAATTTAGGATTAACAATTTGTTGCAGGAAATCATATATGGTTTCCTACATGTCCTTCCCCCATTTTTAAATGAGTGATATACTATTAAGTTCTGCTTCCCTGAAGAGAGTAAGTGATAATAATATGCTGTTTCATAAGTTAGTTTGTATCTTTTAATTTACACACCCTCCATTTAATACAAAATTTCGTCTGGTCAAGCATTATTGTAGCATCCATTCTAGCTGCTTAAATGTGTTGCTTTCTGTTAAAAAAATATAATATAAAATTTTTAATATAACATTAAACTTTTGGATTGAATTGAAGCTCGATATGAACCCTGCAATGAACACATAGTAGCATATGCATGGTGCGTGAAGCATATAGCATGACCATGCACAGATAGTTGTAACGAATAGGAGACATGCAGTTAGTATGGATAGTTGCAACTGTTAGGTGTAATACTTGACGTAGCTAGTGGGTTGGGAGAATAACAAACCGAGTTGTATTCTTGATACGATGGTTGGTACCATAAATAGAATTGTTTCATGTAGAAAGAACTCACTGAAGTATTACTTCAGAGTGCGTTTGGATTCACTTTTAAAAAAAGTTACTTTTATGCCTTACTTATTTTAAAAGTGCTTCTTATAAAAGTTAAGACTATTTAGGTTTTTTTAAAAGTATTTATTTTTTGAAAAAAAAAAATTCGCTTTTGACTTTTGTTTTTTTGAGAAGTTAAAATTTTTAGTTTTGAAAAAAGTAAGTTTTTGACTTTTTTATGACTTTTGCTTTTTTTAGAAGTAGTATCCAAATGCACTTTAAACTAAAAGTGCTTTTTTTTGAAAAAAAAAATAATTTCTGACTGAAAAAAAACTCATCCAAACGGGCCCTTAATCCATGAAGGAAGAAGCTTTCCACACGCCACGGCATCCATTTTTCAAAGCTTTGACGTATACATTTTTATTTTATTTTATTTTTTCATTTTCGTTGAAATTAAACTTTGATTCATACTTTAATTTAATCCTTCTCATATCTTGATATGTACTCTGATGTAATATGTTTGAAAAAAAATTGTAACTTTTATATATATATATATGAGGTAGGATCCTTAGACACCAGTGTCAAAATTCAAATTTGACACCTCATCTGAGAGCCGTTAGATCAAAAAAGATCAACGACTCTGATTTGCAAGCATATGACAACATTGATCTTTTTTATCTAACGACTCTCAGATGAGGTGTCAAATTTAAATTTTGACACTAGTGTCAAAGGATCTTACCTATATATATATATATATATATATATATATATATATATATATATATATATATATATAAGATAAGATCCTTTGACATCTGTGTCAAATTTGAAGTTTGACACCTCATCTGATAGTCGTTAGATCAAAAAAGATCAACGACTCTGATTTGTAATCATGTGACACCATTGATCTTTTTTGATCCAACGACTCTCGGATCAGGTGTCAAATTTCAAATTTGACACCGGTATCAAAAGATTCATATATATATATATATATATATATATATATATATATATATATATATATATATATTGAGTTTATTACAAGGACAAGAAAAATCAATTGAGTTCATAGAGCTGAATTCAACGGCTTCGATGAATATCTTATCACCATATATATTTTTATCAGCATGCAGCATCATGACGCACGACCTTAATAGAATATCCATCTCAATTACGGTGTATATATGAGGGGTTTTATAAGAGTTATGTTGTAGGAAAAGTGATTGTGTAATGTTATAGAGATTCGTTTTGCGTGCCTTAATTTTTTATTTATTTTTTTGTTTTAAAAAGTGTGGGCCCCACAAAATGTTGTGAGTGTAGGAAAATTTGTTGTGTTATGTTAAAGGATAAAACGAAAACCCATATATGAGAGGTAACGAAGTCCAAATTAGTCTAAAAACATAAAAACATAGAAATGGTGGAAATGCAGTGTAAAAATGTAAATAAAAACGGTGCTTAGTAAAAATGGATAAAAATACCACATAGAAACATAAAAACAGTAGAAACGCAAGTTTTTACATTTTTTACCGTTTTTACTTAAACTTAATTTTTTTTCTTAAAAAAAAAACCTCTTTTCTATTTTTTTAAATTCAATTTTCTCTTTTTGTGTTTTTAAACTTGTCTTATATAGTTATGTGACTTGTATCTTTTAAGGTTTTAATGTTTCTACAGTGAATGTAGATAAGTTATCTACATTCGCTCTCAAAATGACGTCTTTTTGGATTGAAAAAATAAAAAATTATAATAAAAAAGACTATTATAATCCTGAAATAAATTATAATTATAAAAATACCTTAATTTTCGCCTCAAAACGACGTCGTTTTGGGGTTATTGTAGATAAGTTATCTACATTAACCGCAGAAAAAGCGAACTCATCTTTTAAATATGAAATTATTTATTAAATTTTGAATAGTGACTTATGTGATTTTTTTTTGGGTTTACATCTCTCCAACCACTTGACGTCTAGGAGTCAAATAGTTACCATATATATAGGTGAAAATATTAAATGAGGGAAATTATAATCATACAATGGGTGAAAGCATTAGATATGAAAAATCATAACTATACATCTGTCATTGCTAGATGTCAATCTGCCAGAGAAATAATTTTACCTTTTTTTATATGCATATATATATATATATATATGTATATATATACATATATATATATATATATATATATATATATATATAATTTTGTATCTTGATCTTAAGTAGTAAAATTTTTATGTTTCGTGTCGTTTCTACGATTTACATTTTTACTATCCCTTCCGTTTCTACGTAGAAACTCTATTTCGACAACATTGGTCCCGACATAAACATCATAAATAACAGGGTAGAAAAACGTGTCATGACCCGCAAAAAATTATGTAAAAATACGGGTCATGTTTACTCGCGAGATAGAACGGGTTGTGTACGAGTTTGAGTAAATAATACGAATTAGTATCATATTGTGTCATGGGTTGATCCGCAGGATCCGTATGTCAACCTGCAAAAATATTTTTTTATCAAAAAAAATAAAAATAGTTGAAATTTTGATAATTTTGACATATCCTATTGCGGGTCACATGTCAACCCACATATTTTATTCAATTTTTATCTTTTATTTTTATTTTTTTTAAAATTATATATTCAATTTTTGTGACTCAGTCCGTATAAGCTGCAACAAGCGGCGAGTCGTGCCCGATTTCAATTTTTTGACCCTGAGCAAAAACATGTCATTCGTCGGATAGTTTGACCCATGGGTCAAACTTGACATGACAATAACTTGATTCGCCAACATATTTTGTCACCCCTAATAAATAACATCAATCAAGTTAGTGAGAGATGTTCTGGTCCCAACAAATACTAGAATTATTTTATGGGATAATAACTTCTTCTGTTGCAGAAGAAGTTATCTCCCTTCCAGGAGACACATTAAGTGTGAGACCACTAGAAGAAAAAAAAAATCAAAAGTGGCGCTATTGATGGCTCAGGAGAAAAATACTTGTAAGTAGTGTTTTTTCCTTATTTTATTGCACATTAATCAAAATGCAGTGATACAAGAACAATTGAGCAAATACTAAATGCTTATCTTTACTTGAAGAACTCCATAACCCAGAAGCCAGAGACAAAGCAAACGAATCTGATGCCACTAAATCCAGATCCTAATGCCAATTCCATGAATTCTTGTTGCGTTCGCTCTTTCCCATTTGGGGTTTGAGTGATCATTAAGAGGTCATCTTTGAAAGCACGCCAAGCAGCAGCTGTACTCTCAGGTAAAGCAGGAAGAATTGAGTCAACAACAATCACTTTTCCATAATTGGGAATAGCCTTATGGCAATTCTTCAACAACTTCAAACAGTGTTCATTACTCCAATCGTGAAGGATCCACTGAAAAATTTGGTACAGAAAATTAAGCCATGACCTTAATAAATCATAGAACGTTACATTTGTTGGCTGTTTGCATTAAAATATTTGATGCCTGATGACTACTTAAATTTAATTAAATTTTATATGCACTAAGATCCTTTCCGATATAGATATAATAAAACTATTCGTGTAATTTTTTCAATCATTTTAAATTTTCGAGTTTTGAAAAAGTTGTTTCCCAACATAGTATCAATAACAACTTAAATTTACTTTTGGAAGAGTTGTTGATTATTCCCTATATACAAGTATATACCCATGTGTAAGTTTACTTTTCAATAAAATACTTGCACAAGTCACCTTTAATTTCCGAACACAAGTGTTTATACTTAAAAATACAAGAATAAATCACCAAGCTTGTGAATCAACTAGTAAGAGATTATTCTAGTTTTGTTATGGATCTGAGCAAGATCCATATTCTCGGAAGGCCCAGACGACATAAGCCCAAAGGTAAACTTTATAAATAGGAGATAAAGACCACTGGTATGATTGATCTCTCTTAAACCTATTTTACGCAATCACACAGCACACACACCACCCCCTCTTGGCTAAGGCCGTTATATCGTGTGTCGTGATTCGCTGCCCCCAAGATACCTAATCCATAGGTCTCTAGAGAGAGCACCCGATCCAACATCAACAAGCTAACCCTTGGTTAGACATCTTTGCCACTCAAGCAGAACATTGGCACTGTCTGTGGGTAACCTTTTCCACGATCATGTGGTTGAAAGCCAGCGATCAAAATGGTGCGGACCACCAGAAGCGGTTACCGGCAACCATCGATGTCGAATGCTAGACATGAACCAATCCCTCCAATCAGGGAGGATCCATTGGGGCAACATGT